TATATGCTCACCTAAATTTGTAATTAGTTAATGCAGGTTTGGCGATGTAAAAGCTATACATTAGTTCAGTAATGCAACTCTGATCCGAACTCTGCTTTGCTGCAAATTATTCGAGTGTAAAATTATAAAAGGGATATAGGTAAATATATAAGCTAACATTGAAAATATTATTAAGCAATTAAATTAACAAATTACTGTTATCTAAGTATATTATTATCCATATTGAAAAACATATAGTATTTTTCTTAAAAATAACTTTATTGTAACGAAAAAGTAACTTACATTTATTACATAATATATAAAAAAATACGGAGTAATGATTGAATGTTGAGTTTGTTCTTTTTTTTAACAATAAATTTAAATAATCCGAATATTTTTCGGTTGTTATAACTAATAGGATCAAAACAAACCAAAGCTTAACAAAATGATTAATTTTTGCACAAAATGCCAGTCCCATTTTTTCCACAGGGTGTTTTGAATTTATGGCAAAAAACTAAGTTTTGATTTACCCCGGTATAAATCCCCCAAGCAACAAAATTCCGACTTCCGACTAGTTTTGACTACGTGCAATGTTGAAATTGGTACTTTTCCCTGCCCTATGCATACCCACACCTCAAATTACGTAGCCAAAACGTCGCTACGACGTTGCACTTAAACAGTTGTATATTTTGACCCTTAACAACGTTGGTAAACGTTGTAGGGCACAACGTTGTTAGAAGTGGGGTTTTATACCGTTGTCATTACGTCGCCAGAAGGCATGTTTATTGTACTACAGAATAACAAACGTAGTACAACGTTGTCCAACGTGCTTTTAAATTACGATTGTAAGTACATACTAACTACAACGTAATACAACGTTTCATTAAACGACCCAAAGCAACTTCAAAATTATAATAACCAATTACTACGTTGGATTACTACGTTGGATTACTACGTTGGATTACGGCGACGAGCGCGACGATATCGACTTTTGTTGTGGAAGCGGAACTATCTACACCTAACCTCAAAAAATTCTGTACTGTACTGTCACACACAGAGCAATTGGTTAGGTATTTTTTCTGTGGTACTTACTGTGTAAAGCAAAAAGAAGATGTATAGGAAAAAAGTATATAAATACTCTACAACTTTTTATAGAAAAAGGAAAAAGTATTTAGAAGAAAGTCAGCGAGCAAGTCAGTGTCCGAAAAATGAAGTGGAAATAACGAATTTAGGTTCGTCATCCACATCCTCGCAATGTACTACTAGTGGTAGCTTATCATCAATGGATACTATAGAAATAAATAAGAGTACACCTGAAGCCTATACAACAGAGAAATACTATGAGAATAATGATCCTCCAGAATAGCAGTCAACCGAAATTCATCCTGACGTCCTTTCGACCAAAAAATAAAAACATTTTTAAGTCAGTGGAGTGTACAAAATAATATATCCCATTCAGCTGTAAACTAGCTTTTGAAAGGATTATCATCTTGTGGTATAAAAGGGCTGCGGATTGATGCACGTGGAGTGGTAAGATCAGCAATACTTTCTGTACGGCTTTTTTTAACAATAAATAAATAGAAATACTGATCTAGTGTCAGCGATCTTATTAACGAGTATGTAACCACCACCACCAAAGGATGACCCAGCTTTCTTCTTTATTTTATTTTTCCTTGGTAAAAAAGAGCACCGTAAGAAGGAATTTTCTTATTTACCTCCTAGATATCGGTAGGGTTCAGAGGTCCTACTTCGTCAAAGCAGGTGTCAATTTCTGAACCAAAGGTTGGCATAGGTGACCCAAAGGTCGGTTACCGCACCTTATGCACTATATTGGTATTTTAAAGGTTGCCTTAAGCAACTCCGCCATTTTAATACGATTTATCTTTTCGTGCGTTGTGGACGAATCGAATAAAATATCAGAAACCACAAAATACTGCGAATTTCGTTAAAAAACTGTATCTGTTAGAGTTGTAAGCTAATTTTCCTGATAGATTTCGTATATTTGTCTCAAACTTAAACAAAAAAAAAAGTTAGGTTAACCAAGTAAACTATAATTTTAAAATTAAAACTAGGAAATAAAAAAGGGGTTTTGCAATATTTCGAAGTATCATGGTCACTTTCAACAGTAAACTAATCTTCGTTAATGAATTTCAATTGCCGACATCTCAAAACTTTGCAGATTTGTTGGCAATTTGACCTAGTTATTTCTTAATGGAGCGTAATATATTCCATTTCTAATTCATACATCATTCATTTTGGTTTCCTGATGGTTGAATATAGTAATATTTGACGACGAATATTTTTAACTCTAACCCCAAAATATCGCGAATCGGCATGAAAAACAACTTTTAGCACACGACGTACTACGTCGAAAAAACGAAAATAAAATAAAAAAGTCTTTGCCCTGGCCCGAATTCGAACTATGAATCCTCGGTTCGTAGTCTGAAACTCTACGCACTGCGCTATGGAGATATGTTCGATTTATATTCAATACTAGAATTTAGAGGACTAAATTAAAAAAAAATAGGAACTTTCTGCGATGCGCAGTAGTGAACGCAACGGGTACCGGCATACTGTTCCAGAGAGCATAGTAAAAGATATATCAAAGAGCCGGACGTCTTAAAATCCTTTCTCGAAAACGTTGCTAGCTCTTAGACTACTATTCTTTCACGTGAAAATATTTACTAAACAGGACTGTAATTAACACTTTCCCTTCTAAATCTTCTGAAATATCTAACTTTATTGATTACTAATATTTCTATAGATTTGGACCACCAAACTGTCAGCCATAAGAAGCACGATGCTATCACGACGATTGCGACTGTCAGACCGGAAGTTCTATAATAATTTTTAGGCATAGAAGTAAAGCATTTTTACGCCTAAGCTATGGCCTAAGCATAAAAGTACAAAAATATTTTTCTCGATATATAATTTGTAAAACTTGGAAAATAAGTTCGTCATAATAATGCTTTTATTTATTCACTATTCTAATAAACAATATGCATTCCTTCGGAAACTCTCTATTTATTTATTTGGTAATGCTAAAACACTCTATTTGAAAGTCGATTAGAGAAAACAGTATGATTCATTGGCAAGCGATGTAAATATTTGTGATCAGGTAAAATTGTGATGTAAGAGGAGGCTTAGCTCGGCAGGCCAGTCAGTCGTTGATAGGCCGGCCGGCTGTGTAGTGTTGTGTTTTGTCACAGAGCTGACATTGGAAGTAGCGAGTCTTTTGACTATGGAAGTAGAAAACCTCTTGTGACGTCGTTCCTTCGAGGATGGTCTTGAGAGTTTGAGGTCTCTCTTGCTTCTCGATTGACACCGCTGGGGCGTTGTGTGAGGACCCCAATTAACCCCATCGATTGGGATGCGAATCTGTTTAACGACAGATTTGCGTCCGCGGGAAGCCCCTATACTATTTCAGGTGACACTAGCTAGTTGTTGAAGATTATTAACCAATAGATCCGAATAATATTTGAATTAGATGGAAGATATGGAATGGGATATATTGAATAGAATGTCAGTGATGTCAGTGGCTAGGGGGCGGAGTACCCCCGGGTGAGTCTTACTATTTAACTATCAATTTTATCCAGATCAGTAAATGTTTGTTTTGTTATTTTCATGTACAATGAGAGAGTGCTTGCCAATGACCAACTAAATGGATATTTGAGGTGAATTTGCATTGTGAGACCCGGTTGAGTAAGCCCCAAAAATAACGATTTTACAAATTACATACAAAGTATGGCTTTTAAATCTTTTTATATTATTTGGAACGTTTGAAATTGTTTAAAAAATGATTTGTGGCGTTTGAAAAAAATAGCATGTTCTATTCGGAGTAAAAATTACTTTTTATGCCCCCTCGGCTTATGTCAGTCAAACGCTCAGCCTCGCCGCAAAAAGTGTCATTTTTACTCCTAATAAAACAATATACGATTTTCTATCAATGGGTTTCAACAAATACTTCTGTCCAAAAATTATCACTCATATTATATTTAAAAAGATAGTGAAATAGAAAGAGAACACTGTCAAATAATTTTAAATACGCGATAGAGTGGACCGTTATATGGTTAATTTGTCAATAAAAAAAAATTGTATTCGCATTTTTTAAACAATTAAATGATAAATAAAGTGAGTGATACGCCATTTTACGTTTTGTAAATATTTTGTTTTTATGCCAGGTTTAGGCGAGCAAACAAAAAAATATTTTAACTTTATATTTGTAAAGAATTTTTTAAAATGTTCCATATTCTAGAATCGTATAGTAAAAGCATAATTAATTTGAAAACAATAAATTGATATGTGTTATCGACGCCTATGATCCTTATGATAGGCAGTCATTTTCACGCCGTGCCTGCACCCCGTGTCCGCTGATGTTGGCGAGTAGCGGAGTAGTAGGCTTTGGAAACAGTTGAATGTCAGAGTTTGTTGATTTCGGCCCAGAGAGAAGACATTGTTTGTCAAGCTAGTTAGAATTATATTTTAAATATCAATTTCTGTTAAATACATTAATCTCCCGATTACATCAGAAGTGGCGATGAGTTTAATCCAGCGTTCTTAGGCCGTAACGGCGTATTTCTGACTTACTGACGACTATTGACTTGACTTTGACCTTTGAGACTATCGTTTAGTAAAGGCGTCGCGTCGCGTCGGTTTCGAGGATCTATTCGGTCGTCTCAGATACGGGTACCCGTCGCCGTCGGTTTTCGGATACCGACGTCGGATCGGCGAAGCGCGAAAAGAAAACCGGAGGGATCATTCTGCTAGTTCTAGTGCTCGAAGATATTAGCGGAAAAAAATGGAGTGCTGGAAAGAAGGGTCATATCACCCCTGCAAGTTACAGACTCCGGAAGATAACAGGAAAAGGTAGTGAGCCAACACATTATCTGAACAAATCTCTTCTAAAAGGCATTTTAAAAATGGCTAGAAAAAAAAATCGAGATAAATTAGGTAATTACGAGATAAATTCTAAGGTAGTATTTTTATACAGTAAAAATTGTTGCCATGGAGACAGATTTGAGTTTAAAGTAATTGTTCGGATTTTTCGATTTCGGATTTCGGTGATATGAATCGCCTCGTGGTTCAAGAGGTCTCGAAGAGAGGGCGCTACCGTAGTCGGTTGATAAGAGTCGATTTCGCTTGCGAAAGAAGATGGATGCGAACCTCGGCACAAACAGACAGTTTTTCACGTAAAAAGTAAAATTTTATTGTTAAAATTAAAAGTTAAATAAATATCCATCTATGGTCCTCTTGAGGAATAAAATTTCTAGAGTTATGTGTTATTTTATTCTCATTAAACTTCTTGATCAAGCCGAAACGTGGAACGGTGGTTTTCAAACATGATTTTTATTGTGCTTTGAAATATTTTGTTGAGCTTTTTAATTAAAAATATTAAACCAAAAGTCGAACAGTAATTTAATAATTTCATTGTTTATTATGTAATAAAAAAAATATATCAAGTATATACAGGTATATTCAAGACATTTTATGTGGAAAGATAAAAAAAAAAGTCTTCAAAAGTTTTTCAGTTTTTCAGAAATACCGACCATAGATTGTTTCATAAATATATAATTTATATTTTTCATATATACATTTTTAATTATACCCCATTTTACTTATTACTTATTTTATTACTTTAAGTTTAGTTATAGATGTTATTAATATTTCAGCTATATTTTTAATTTACTGAAACTTTCAACTTTAGGTAGTCTAGTATTGCTATATCAGTAATATACTAGGTATTACATGAATGTACTTGGTAATTATCTTTAGTGATTAGAAATACAAGAGAGAAATAGTAAGTAGATATGTAAAATTTAAAGTTGAACATTTGTGAAATCAAACGTTTATTAAGGAATATTAATTTATTATAGACACCTCATAATCCTTCTAATATACACGCAGTTTCGATCTAATATTTGAAAATTCATTTTAAGATGCTGTTTTTAACGTAGTCTTTAAGAAAGTTATTTTGTTTTGTACCTTGTAGAGTGTATTTATGTAGTTGAATAAATACATGGTTGTAGAAAAGTTAAGTAGGTTCCAAACTGTAGGTTTTGCAAATTCACTTGAGAATTATATCAAAATTTCACATAATTTGTAAGTATTACATTAGTTTTTCAATTATTATAATATAATTTTAACCACCTCATTATATTTCAGAGTTTTTCAGTTTAATTCAGGTATTTCGCCAGTATTTCAAGAACTTTATCTTTGTATACGCCATATCCTTGTTTATATGCCATATTTCATAGCAAATAACCCTTCGAATAGTGTTGTAATAAATTGACACATTGTGAGTGTTAAAATAGTTGTGTAAAATTTTGTAGAAGATGAGAATGAAGCGTTTATTAAAGTACACAGGGCTACTTTTTAATAAAAGCGTAATTTCTTTTAATTAGAAATAAATGTAAATGTCCAGATGGGTAAAATTCTAGGTGCCAGAGTACTATTATATAGTAGATTTCACAACACGCTGTAGATATCTTGAAAACAAACTACTAAAGAACGACATAAAATAAATATTCTCGGAAATAACAGATTGTTTCGGTAAAAACATGTTTAAATAGTTTTTAACAAAAATGTCTAGTAGTTAATATACAACTAGCAAATCCGATTATCTTAATCTTATATAAAAATGCATACACTTTTCATATTATGCGTAAACAAAAATAAATAAAGCGGTACTATATTATTTTAATTTAAAATACATAAACTAAACTACCTACGTATGTACTTAAATCTTTATGCGGCGTTAATATATGAGTTTTACAACCCCGAATAAAGTAATTATTTATGTATACCCTTTTACCTAAAAGAAAACGAATACTTTCAATATAAACTAGCCATATCTCACTACCTGAATACTGTTGGACATCCACGTGGAATGGGACAAGTAGAGAGGCATAATCTCTAGTATGTGTAACAAGTTGCATTACGATATCTAGGTTGAAAATGTTTCAAACATTCAGTTTGGATTGCGTGTAACTAAGCACTAGGAGCAAAATGAGCGTATCTGGACAAGTTGAGTTTATCCCTCCGGGCGTAAATGATCGACGTTAGCGAGTTTCGGCGTAAATTAGTAGCGAATGATGCGAAATATCAAGCGGAATAAAAGAAAAATTGGATGCGTAGCGAACTATATTCAGCGTTAGATCTACTAAGGATCTGCTAAGGATCACTTCGACACAGCTAATAGGATCCAATCAATCTCCAAGGTAGACAGGTTCATTTGAATTTCTAAGCTGAGGATTGGTTGATATGAAGTTAGAAACATCCTAGAATGGCATGCAAGGTTACAGAACAAGTACTGTGGAATAGCTAGGCTTGGCAAGCTATGGATTTGGTTATGGTAGATTCAGACGTGTATTAGGATAGGAAAAAGAAGGAGTAGGGTTAGTTCTACCCGGTTCTCTCTTTTTCAAGGTATACGTTAGTATGATAGCTGGAAAAGGCGTGTGGTGGTTGCTAAGGTATGAGTTTACCACCTGGGCGCTTTGTGAGTAGGGCGGACAAGACTTGCGAATAGGGATGACTCCCGGTATTCGGTCTGGTTAGTTCGACCCGGATTGCTCTCTTTTCCAGTGGCTGGAAAAGGCGTGGGCCCATAGTTAGATTTAGATTTTAGAATTTAGATTTAAGATTTAACTTTATTTTGTTGCACGCAAGCTGCAGATTGCGTGTAATACCAATATATAATAAGTAATTCGTTTATTTTACCTTTTGAAATTTTATCCCTGAATAATTTATTTGTCCATCATGAGTTTTTGAGTATTGTTTCTGAGTGAGTTACGATATTTTATTTTTATTTATTTAAGTAGAAAATAAGACGTAGCTCCAGTATGAGCAGTGGACAATCTAACTATATTTTATTTCAGCTTTTAAAAATGTCCTTTAAACGATTCTGATAATGTTTCTCCTTTTAGTGTGTTGAGATAATGGTAACAATTAGCTGATAAGGTTTAGTCAATTGGTTTTGTATCATTTGTCTAGTATCAGCAGCAAACAATCTAACATATATTTTATTTCAGCTTTTAAAAAATGTCCTTTAAACGATTCTGATTGTTTCTCCTTTTAGTGTGTTGTAATAATGTAACAATTAGCTGATAAGGTTTTGTCAATTGGTTTTGTATCAATTGTCTAGTATCAGCAGCAAACAATCTAACATAATATATTTTTATTTCAGCATTTAAAAATGTCCTTTAAACGATTCTGATTATTTTTGTCCTTTTAGTGTGAACAATGGTAGCAATTAGCTGATAAAGATATGGCTCAGCAGCAAAAAAACTAATGAATATTTTTATTTCAGCATTTAAAAATGTCCTTTAAACGATTCTGATTATTTTTGTCCTTTTAGTGTGAACAATGGTAGCAATTAGCTGATAAAGATATGGCTCAGCGGAAAAAAAACTAATGAATATTTTTATTTCAGCATTTAAAAATGCCATTTAAAAGGTTCTGATTATTTATGTCCTTTTAGTGTGATTCAGAGGAGTGAGGACACTCAAAAGTCAGGAATGGCCGAACGTTATCGACGCCTATGATCCTTATGTTAGGCAGTCATTTTCACGCCGTGTCTGCACCCCGTGTCCGCTGATGTTGGCGAGTAGCGGAGTAGTAGGCTTTGGAAACAGTTGAATGTCAGAGTTTGTTGATTTCGGCCCAGAGAGAAGACATTGTTTGTCAAGCTAGTTAGAATTATATTTTAAATATCAATTTCTGTTAAATACATTAATCTCCCGATTACATATGATTCTTAATAACAAAATCGCTAATTGGTAATACAATAAAATTAATATTAACATTAAAAAAATTGTGGCCGGGAGGCACGTATAGCCGCCCATACTAAAATATGTTAATAAAAAGTTGGTAGGCAGTTCTTTTAGTTTCAAAGTAAAGGAATTTTTTCAATTTTATTTTATCTCAAAAACTGCGACTTTGACTGATTTTGATGTTATTACAAATTTTGTTGCAAATATTATTCCTAATCTTAAATTGAAAACCGCGTTTCGCTAGCTACTGTAATTTTGGAGTTACGATTTTTTAAAATGTTTAACCCCCTCTCATACCCCCTTACCAACCCCCCACCCCCACCAAAAACTAATGGCCAGATTCTTGGGTGTCACAGTATTTTGTGCCAAATTTGGTTAAAATCGGTTTAGCGGTTTTTGAGTTATCGTGTTACAGACGGACAGAGGGACAGACACCATGAAAATATTTTGTATTTAGGTCATTTATGACACAAGTAACTCATTTTGAGTGACATTAAAAAAACTTCTTTTGTCGATCTTAATAGCCTACCATACCTGTTAGTATGGTCGGCTAAAAATGTAGTTAAACTGAATTCTGGTTGTCTTGACTTGAGGGCAATTATATTGATTTAAATCACTTTACTGACTTAACTTGCAGATCATCATAATTTAAGTCAAAAATATAGATTTAAGTCATAAAAAAGACTTAAATAACGTTAAATTGATTTAAGTCTACAAAAATGACTTGACTTGAAATAAAATGATATAAGTCAAAGACCTTGAGTGATACCTCATAGACGTACGTTTTAATGGGATTTGATATTTTTCGAGTCAAGACTAAACTACCCTTAGGACAATATTTATTTCAAATCTGATAAATTATATTGAATCCTCCTTGCCTAAGATACTTAAGTTCTAATTTTGATAAATATTGATACAGGGTGCGTCATTAAAATAAGACATTTTTATTTTTATTATTATTTTTTAAGTACTTACGACGCCACTGGATAAACAGCAGGTATCAGATTTGAAAGAAATACTGTCCTAAGGGTAGTTTACTCTTGACTCAAAAAATATCAAACCCCATTAAAACGTACGTCTATGAGGTATCGCATTTCTTACCCTGGGCAAAATGTACGTCTTATAGCCATACAGCCTCCTGCCAAAAATGAAAAATATCTGTCAACAAACAACCAAGATATTGGCTTGTATCCATCTTAAGTGGGACACCCTGTATGTGTCTTAAGTGGGACACCCTGAAATACAAACCCCAAATCATAGGCAGAATACACACAAAGATAACAATACACAATATATACTTTAACTACCCCTCTAGCTTTTATTATTAATTGAAAATTACATCCATTAATTTTGACGTTGTAAATCCCTACAATGAAATTAGAGAAACAAATATCTACGTTAATTAGAACTACTAATTTATTCAACTAATTTTGAGATTCTGAATGAAGCTTAAATCAGCTTTCGAAAAATGACTAAAGCTTCATTCAGAACCTCGCAATTAGTGGAATAAATTAGTGGTTTCAATTATACTTTTTAGTTTACGATCATATATATAGCTCCCGTATACAGACCCGGCAATGGATCTCTAGGCATAGGAATTACATACATTG